AGGTCTTTCCAAGCAACAAGTTTTCAAGGTAGTTGAAAAGTTACCTGGTGAGTAAAACTTCATCCCAAATAGAGGAAAAACTAACTAACAGGTTAAAGAATTTGAAGAATATAAAATAAATGACAAAAAACTAACTAAGAATTTAATTCAAGAAAGTTTTAAATGAATTAAGGGACCAGAAGAATTTGGAATATTTTGCTAAGACTTTTGAAATAACTAAATAAACAAAACAATATCTTCATAGGAACATAAATTGTTTAGTCTGTTAGGAAAGAGATGATTGGTTGAAATTTGAAAATAAAGAAACAAAGCCTTTGAGACTGTGATTACAGAAATGGAACACTAGAGGGGACTAAAGTTCTAGGCAGGAAAAAGAGAGAAAAAAGAGAAAACCCTTTTATTTTGGAACAAAAAGAGGAGCAGTGAAATTTATAAAATGACAGACAAAGGTATGACACTTGAGATATTTCAAATGATTTTTGAAGAACTGGGAGAGAAACTTATACTTAAACTAAGGGCAATAATTACTGCACCTGCTAATGTGTTTTTTGAAGAAGATTCTAAAGAAGAAATGAAAGATGGGAAAGAAAACAATGTGGAAGAATTTATAGGCTGATAAGATGAAGAGGTAAAACAAATTCCAGTTGATGTAGAAACACTGAAAAATAAAGAAATTGTGAATTATAAAACAGAGATGATGGCCAAAGTGGGAATACAAATGATAATCCAAGAAATGAAAAATGACCTGAGCAAAGACTTATCATTGGACTTACAAAAGTGGGTTTCTAAAGACTTGCCTTGAAGAAATCTTTAAGATGGGGAAACGGTGGATGGAGATTCAGTCCTATGACAGCAACTAGATGAATTAAAGATCAAGACTGTCAGAGGCAAAGGAAAGGAATATAAAGTTGACTTGATCAGGGTTAAAATAATATTTCTATAAAATTCTGGAAACCCTTTATGGACCTTTTGCTTCTGTCCGATACTTGGACAGAAATAACAATTTTGGATTTGTTGAATGGATAAGGGAAGAAGTGAATTATGTATATAATCTTATAAAGGGTGGGGAAATATTAAATCTGCTTGTAGTTGCAAAGGAGGAGTCACTTCTTTAAATATTCTTTTTTCTATTTCTATTTCTTGTTTCACTTTGTAATCCTTTTCTATTTTCTTTCTGATTTCAGTTTGTATTATCTTTTAGTACTTCCCTTATCCATTCAACAAATCCAAAATTGTTATTTCTGTCCAAGTATAGGACAGAAGCAAAAGGTCCATAAAGGGTTATAATATTTCTATAAAATTCTGGAAACCCTTTATGGACCTTTTGCTTCTGTCCTATACTTGGACAGAAATAACAATTTTGGATTTGTTGAATGGATAAGGGAAGAAGTGAATTATGTATATAATCTTATAAAGGGTGGGGAAATATTAAATCTGCTTGTAGTTGCAAAGGAGGAGTCACTTCTTTAAATATTCTTTTTTCTATTTCTATTTCTTGTTTCACTTTGTAATCCTTTTCTATTTTCTTTCTGATTTCAGTTTGTATTATCTTTTAGTAT